ACCAATACTTTGAATAAGGTATTAATTCATTTTATGATTCAAACAAATGCGTTTTTCAAGCAAAAAAAAACGGACCGAATTAAGTTGTACACCCAATACAACTTCCAATGCAGTTCTTATGTTTTCAGAAAAAAACTTTGTTATCGGTTCCCGACAGTTATCATGCCAAGCTTCAATCCTTAATGCAGTACAAACTAGTTATTGTACTGTTACATGTTTAATAAATGCTAATACGTTTATGTGATGGTTTGCATATACTGAAGAGTTTGAAAGTGAACCTATGGTGTTATGTTGTATAAAAGCTTCCATGCCCGAGATCGTTTATTATATGATAGGCTTGTTGAAAGCAACGCTGCTTCGAATTTAATGATTTGCGGTTGAAAGCAACTTTCCTGTCAGACACCTCTTGCTTTATAGATAACCAAACTATGAATTCGAGATCACTAAAGCTCTAGTTTAAGGCTTACAATCCAATGTTTGGTGCTGACAAGTTGTTCGCTGGTTTTCCGCGGCCTCATTCCATGCCCACACCGAATTCTAACTTGTTTGGATATTCTTGCAACAATCATCCTGCTCCTGGACTTATGCCTTCACATTACGGGCTTCCTGATGATACGTTGCCAATGCTGTTTGCAGCTGGAGGTGGAAATATGTTTCTCAAATGTGAGAAATTTCAGCATTTTTCGTTTTAAATTAGCAAAATCAAAAAAGCTTTTTTGGAAAAAGCTGTACGTGCTCTATAAGGGCAGAATTAACCAATCGCAAAGTCTATATATTGTCTCTATAGTATTATAAGGAGAAGATTGCCGTTTTTCAGCTGCTGCGCCCTCTACGCCCACTTGCATGTCAGGAAATGCCAGCATGTGTTCTAACGACAGCGCATCGAGTGGTACTTCACCTCCAAACGGCTGTTGTAAGTTTTTTCCATGAATTCCGAAATAATTTGGCGCTTTAGCCGACGAACGTCCAATAGAATTTTTCCACCTCAAAAATTTCCAAATAACGTGTAGCTACGATGATGCCTCCAATCGAGACGCCAAAGTCGCCTGTCTCGACGAGAAGACTGCTTGGTACACCATCACGTCCAGCCTCACAGTTCCTTTCGAATGATGTCGAAGTCTTTGCTCGCAAAGTTTTCGTTGGTGGACTTCCTATCGACGTCACTGAAGGTCGTTCAAAGGAGCTCCTCTGTAACTATAAGTAAAAATATCTTTGAAGACGAAATCTGGCAAACTTTCTCGATTTTTGGGAATGTGCTCGTGGACTGGCCTCGTCGTCCGGATGGTACCAGCTCTCGGGATGAAGATTCGGGAAGAGGATGTGAGTGGTGTATTGCGCTCTTGGAATTGTGCCCCTACATTTTAGCACGATCAATGACTGGCTATGTGTTTCTTGTATTTGAGGAAGAGCGTTCAGTACAATATCTTGTTAGCGAATGTCATAAGGAAGATGATCGGTGAGTGTTTTAAGAACTTGTGAATGCAAGAGCTCGCATCACAGAATGACCTAATACAGTATGGTAAGCACGAAAAATGTACGATTTTTTGAAAATAAAAGTTACAAAAAGGATTGTTACTAATAAAATAGTTGACAACAAAGGCAACCTTGATCTCTAAGTCATGCGATATAGTTGAGCAATGTTAAACGGCGACAAAGTACCTATAACTCAGCTGTTACTAGAAATTTCTACAATCCATACATCTAATAAGCATCAGGAACCACTTTTGATGGTGCGTTGTAACTCAAAGCTTCAATAAATTATCTACTACTCTATAATAGACAATAATGTGACAGAAGAATAAGTAGTCAGCCAAAGGATCCCTACCAGAAGAGTTCCAATGAATCTTCAGTTTTGCTCCACTTTTTCATAATAATTCAAACGGTACATACCTATTTGTCAATTTATCTTGATTATTAGCTTGTAGATTGTCTTAGTACCCTCAGATAACAAATGTTTAATACATCACCGGCCTTCAAAACACCTTATACAAAGGTAAGCCAAATGAGTTTGAATGCATTTGAAGGAGGTTTAGTAGCTTCCGTAGAGCTTACCTACCCTAAGAATTACCGTCTATTTTAACCATTTTTTCCATATACAAATGTAATCTTTGATATCGAAGATCTCTCAAAATTGAATGAGCAGCTTCCTCGAGATAAGGCCTAGCGATTCTGGTAATCGCATCGACAATTTTTTTTTTCAACGAAGGAGGTCTGACGCGATGACGAGCATCATTTTATCGCTTACACCATTTCATATAAAAATTTTCAAAGGAGTTTTCTAGAAATCGCAATAATTAATCTTAAAAAAAGATTTAGAAATGTTTCGAGATTTTTTAAAGACATGACTTTTTAATCAGCTCAAAAAATAAAGCATAACCAAATGATTTGGATGTGCGATAGAGCTTTTGCAGAGTGAGGAAAGAGCTGAATTTCATATGCAATTTGTGTGAAAGGTATAGGGTGCGGAAAATGAGTTTCGAAAAGAATCATGATAATGACGTAACTACCTAAATAGATCCCAAACTCGTGATGAATCAAAGCGTTATCGCCTTGAGATAAAATTGTATTTTGTATACACCTCCTATTCGCTATTTTTGACATCTGAACGGGCAAGTAACCCCGCGAGCACCGCAACCTCCAGTCACTAGCTTTTTTTTTCTGCAGCTACTACCTCTTCGTTTCTTCCCCTACAATGCGTGACAAGCCGGTGCAAGTGCGCCCGTGGCGTTTGGCTGACATGGACTTCATCTCAAATC